ACATGCGGGGATCTGATTCTAAAATTGGAACATTAGTGACAGTCAAAGACAACGTAGAACAAGCGTCATTTACAAAACTTTATTATATACACTATCTTTGAATCCAAGTTTCGACTTCACTGTCGTAACTGTTGTTTTTTTTTGGGGGGGGATATTTTTAATTAAAATATTATACTCTGTGATTGTAAACTGAGAACAGACTTCTCAAGGTAGAGTGAACCAAGTGAGTATTGGTCACCAGATCCGGGAGGAGAATAACACACTGGAGAGGAGCACTTGTAGCCAAGGTGTTTATTGCTCAATTGCTAGGCCTGGAACTGAGTCTAAATACTCACGAGATGTTCCATACAATGTATCAATATCATTATGCAAATAACTAAACTAAACGTCATAGCCTCAAATCATTACAGTGGACACGGGAAACAGCAAGTGTTATACAGCTGTAAGGGTATTCTTTAAAATACAATTATTTTGTTATGCATGTCATTGTGAAAAGTGTAATGCACTGATATATTATAGCCCCATACAGTATTACACTTTTATTATGGCTCTGAATTACGAGCACGGACATACGATTTCGCCGACATTGCAATCAATTACACGTGTGTTTGCATAAAAGATCACATCGTTTGCTACTACATGTATATAATTTTATTTCTGTAGATCTGATCATAAAACTACTTCTAATTGTACTGTTTACGAGAGACACTAGCAAGGAATGCTAACAACATAAAATCATATCTTTAAAAAAAATCCACTTTTGGCATTTAGTAATATATGACCTTCATTTTATCAGTACGATCTTGTTTTTTTTCTTCTTGTTTTTTCAGACGTCACTTCCGGGGTTCTCATTGGATATGTCTATTTACATTATCAGTACTATGGTCAGTCTTAGGTAAGAAAATATACCGTGGAATGTCGACAAACCAAACACGAGTGTCTGGGTTTACGTAGTATAAACTTAATGTCCATCTATATCCCAAGTGAATTGAATATTGAAGTAATTCTCCACCATTTGAACAACATTTGAGTTAATTTTGTTTACTTTTTAGAAAGATTTACGACTTGTACGACGCGACTGTTCCAAAAACAAAAACTCACACTATTTTTTCGCAAAGCATTAAATCAAACCACTGAATTGAATTAAAATAGATCATGGCGCAAATTAAGGCTGTATTATGGATTTGTCGGATCGAGCTGCCTGATTTATGATACATGGTATACTCTGTATTCGTCTACAGTGAATCGAGGCTGTACATTCTGTCTATTTCCCGAGAGAGTGAAGAGTTCCTTGTAGACGACGACACCAAGTTGAAAATGAATTCACAATGTAAGGAAACAAATAATACATCGAATAGAAGAATAATTTGTCAAATATTGCACATTTGACGAGCTTCGACATGCTTACAATTAATTCTATATGCATTTACGACAGTTACACAGTATAGTAATGTGTTGCGTTGTTGTGCGGTTGTTGTGATCTTAGGCTGAGAAAAAAATATCTGTGTTTCTCGTTTCCGTGCGCATCATTTTGAACTATACGCCTCGGACGTTTTTTTTTCTTTCCAAAGCATTCCAAAATGCGCTTGTACTCGCACCTGACTCAAATTTCCCCCATTTTAGCTCTGATCAGTATTAAAAAAAAAAAAAAAATCACCTCGCCGCCTCATTTTGAAATTGTCATGAAACGAGAAACAGAGATTTTTTTCCACTGGCCTTAGCCTTGATCTTAGCCGTTGTTCAACTATGGGTAATCGTACCACGAATCACATTCTTTGTTCAAATGTTGGTAATTAAATCATGGATCTTTCCTCAATGTTTCAATTATTTTAGCGTGTCACTCGGAGTACATTCACTTGGGGATCCCACCCCGAGCGCCACCATGCGTGAAATTAGTAATCATTGCATCACTTTTGTTTTTAGTTAGCAATCTTAGATGTCTATATCCTGACCGACGAGAATGGAAGGTTTCTGTGACTCAAGATTCGAATAGGTAAGTGATCGATTATCACGTAATATATTAGATAAGTCAGTAATTGTAATATAATTTGACTGACGTTCAGGTTGACAGATCATTGTTGATCATTTTTTTTTCCGAATATGTAAGACTTTTTTTTAATGGGAGTTTAATACAATGTAGCCATGCGAATGAATCACGGTGTTCCCGTGTGACAGAAAGTAATAATCTATGCACTCATTTTTTTAAATTATTGATACAGTGTGTGATCATATTAGTATAATAGCGCCAAACCACGAAATGAAAATGAACAGCAATTATAGTGGTGTCTGATTGGCTACCTAACCCTAGCACCTTACAGGCAGACCAATCAGAGAGCAGCAGGTTTTTTCTAAGTATCAAATTCTACCTTGTATATATGCTTCGACTCAACTGTGGTATGTACCGTTAATTACTTACCATAAAATTACTGTGATTTTGCTATTTATGTAAATCGTGCTCGACATAATTACATGAATGTCATTATCTTGACATGACACTAAATAACCAAAAAAACAATTAAACAAATAAACAAACAAACAAACAATAAATAAATAAATAAATAAATAAATAAATAAATAAATAAATAAATAAATAAATAAATAAATAAATAAATAAATAAACAAATAAATAAACAAATAAATAAATAAATAAATAAATAAATAAATAAATAAATAAAATTAATAATTAATTAATAAATATTTTATTTATATCACCAAAATTGTTTTTACCAAAACATTACTGACACATCGAATGACATTCTCTAATTGTTCTAATACTATGCTTTTCTACATTAATTGCATAACATTACCCCATAATGCAATGCAGCTGATTCCTATATAGTTTGCCACGGTTATATCGAACATAAAACTCATATTGAAAGCATGACATCAAACCAGGCTGCGAGGGAGTTATACATTGATTTACGTTAATTACTCACCATGTGGTGGCGCTGTTTAACTATCAGTACTGTGCCAATGTGTACCGCGCCAACCCACGGGCAGACACGCAGCTAATATATGTAGCACCAACGAAAGCGACTTTTGCACGGTATTATCGCCAATATATATATATTTTTTGTTGTTGTTAATTCAACTTTTTCAATATGTTTTGTATACAGAGACATTGTCGTGCTGTCCTGTCATCTTCCTCGATATATGCACGATTGTTTCAGAACAGAATTCGGTAAGACATTTTCTTCACTCACAACATCCAGAGTTCATGTCTCGTACATAGATAATATGGCCAGCCTACTTTCATGTTTATATCTGACTATTCACTATTACGTCATATCTACAGGAGAGAATACGAGTACGTCATCTATTCCTTTATGTGTCAATTTCTGGATAATTAAACATTCACCGTCACATGCAGCAAAAACGAAAACCCCGACGAAAACGTGAGTATATCGCTGTGATATTCTGTCTCCATTGTAAAGAATGACACGAAACATGACACTAAAATATCTAAACATTTATTGCTGACATACTCTGTTAAAAAGTCCAACTGCCATAATATGTCTCTATGGCGCAGTGAATTTGCACGTTCGGCTCTTAACCGAAAGATTGGTGGTTCAAGACACGCTGAATTAAAGGGCGGCAGTCGTCGTGCCGCGTCCTGTTCGATATGGGACTCACAGCGACGTATACAACGCGTGTAAAATACATTGTTTATTTACATGAAAATCGAACACGCGCTGCGCGACGACCACCGCGCTTTTATCATGATAGTATAATTTATATATGTTCACATGTTTGACTTTACAATATGAATTCCAACTTTAAAGTATCCTAATATTTTTTTTTTGTTTTTTGGCGCATTCAGTTAGCGAGATCACCCGTTAACAAAAAGTTAGTGGTGCACACAGGAACCATTCTCCTTCCCAGAGATCTTTGCGACTAGAACACCGAAAGTATCTTCGCCACCACACACCGCCATTTTGTGGCGAAACACGTGTTTTTGTTATTAGAGGGCTCTCGTGTTGATTTATTCCTACTGATAAACAAGTTTTAAAATATGTTGTCGATAGCTGATAATGATTTTTTCGTAAACGCAATAGTTTTAATTTACAAAAGGAAATAGTTTCATTGCGTAATAACCGTTACTATGGTGTTATTCGGTTTATCAAGCTGACGGCCCCGTCGATTGCCAGGTGAAGGAATATAAACAAACGAAAGCACTTCGTGGTATTGACAGCTAACTCGTCCTATAGCCACTCCGTTTGTGTTATGAAAAATCAGAACCTACAAACAACGCGAACGCTTTCGTCGGGTTCGAAAATCGAACATGTCAAGGTTTTGGTGTGCGTCTTTTAAAGTAGTACCACTGCGTTGACGCTGCAGGTCGGCGTCCTTTCTACACCTTTCGGTGCTGGGACAGCGCTTCCTGTGACGACACAACGAGTACCACTGTGAAGCATCGACCAATTAACGACAAGCATACGATCTCGTGGTGGCAAAGATCATATATTCGTAGAAATAGAACTCTGCCTGGGAGATTGCCCGGGAACCTTATATTAATTTATTATATATACGTTCGCTTTGGTTTCACATTATGAAATTCAAATTTTCAATTTCCGTAACATGTCTCTGGAGCGTTCAGCTGTTAATCGAAAGTTTCTTTCAATGGCGCAATTGGTTAGCACTAAGCTATATTTGTCTTATTCAGTACTGTACCTATGCATTTTAACAATTTCTTTCTTTTCAAATTTCAGAATGATAGCCTCACTGAAAGTTTGTTTGCCATGGAAACAGAGGAGCGATTACATGACATTCTGTTCACCACCTCTCTCAGCGCAGGTACGAGTAATACTAAGGAAGTAACACAGTTATGCCGAGGGCGAATGTTTCTCACTGCTCGGACGCCACTTTATTTAGTAACCCCAGAATTTACGTTTTGCATTTGACGGTTAAAATAACGACCACTCGACCCTTAGTTTTCACAACGCATTTTATGTTGCATTACCCTTGTGCACGGTCGCGTTGACCATGCATTGGTTTCTAAAGCAATATTTAGGTAGGATTTGGTCATATTTATGTTAAATTTAAACAAAAATGTTCAAATTTTCAGCTATTGCCGCTTTATTATGTATTCAACTACTATCATTTTTACCACGTCCAGTGCCAATACGTTACAGCAGTTTGTGGAAGTATTTATATTGTTTGACATATGTGTGTATTTGTCTAGGATGGTTGAAATATTTTCCCCATCATATTTATTGACTATAGTTGCTTTATTATTTATCCGTGTGTATTCTTAGGACTGGTCCATTTTACCAGAATGGATAGAATATCATCTTTTAATTGGAGTGCAGCATATTTATCTCTATACAACCAATGGCAGCAGAGATGAGTTAGCTAGGCGCCTGAGGTACTATTGCCACCACAAACCCACTAATTTTTTTATGAATATTTCTAAATTGCATATTCAAACTGAAACCAGAGGTTTTTATTGTCCGATGGAATTAATAATATTGAAACATTTTCAAATGACGTCAGTGTGTACTGCGCTTTTGCATTCAGTTTTCTTCAAAATTTATAAACATCGGGGGAATGGGTTTGTGGTCGCGAGAGTAAATGCAATTGATTTATCGTAACATTGCGGGATAAACGACTACTACTATCACGTGGTTTGAGACGGCCTTTGAGACATCTTGGTCGTTGGATTCTTTTTTCACATCTCGGTGTCCTATACAGGAAATACGTAACCCTGGGTAAGATCAGCCTCCAATCATGGATGTCACAGCCATGGACAACAGTCAGTCACACATTACACACATTAAGTGCCAGAAACGACTGTCTCTACCGAAACAGGGTGAGCAAATATAAGCGTGGAATATCTCGATTATATCGCTCATGATCCTTTCAAGTAATTTCTGTGTCCAGTAGCCGATGATTTTGTTGAATAATTAAGCTTATTATTGATGATACAATGCCGTAAGGTATAACTGGGGACGACACGATGCAATATACAGTTTTATTGAACGATGCAAAATGGATGAGAACGTGTCATTTTTTTAATTGTATATTGAGATGAACACTTTGGATTATGATTTATCATGAATTAATACGTAGCACATGACCGAGTATTCGGTTGACGAAACGATGAAATTCTCTAATACGCATGCGCATTGTCTTATTATTTTTCTTTGAACGAATCATGATCCAATGTGATTCTTAACATGTCTGTATCACACAACAATATCACACAAAAATATTGCACCTTTAAAATATGTAAATATTCTACAACCATGGTAATGCTTTTCTTCGCTTAGGATGGTTCAAAATGGTTATCATTTGTAGATGTTAACGAATATTTATATCCGGAGCAATCTGAAAATTTACAAATGTTATTAGAATCATACTTGAATAAAACGAAGACGAAGGTTTTAAAATTGAAGAGATTCTATTTCGCCAGGCCCAAAACAGGTAGGAAGCGTTATTTTGTTTTTGATGACGTCATCTGACGATGATTCTGATCCTCCTATCGATTTAATGTTACACTATTCAAATTTCATGTAAAAAAATAATGTAATCTACACGCGTTCTAAACGTTGCATGGGACTTATGTCCAACTCGAAGAATGTGACACGTTAAAGCGGGGGCGTCGGCACCTACGCATGCGTCAGGTGGCCATAGCGTGTCATTGGTAACAAACAAGCGTGTGCCCATGAGCCTTTGCGTTCTTAGCGTGTGTTATCATCGCTTGGAATTTAATTCCCACGCGTGCGCAGGTGACGACCCTCCCGCTTTAACTTTCGAAGTTTAATTACTGAAATCGTGACATTGGGACATATACTTTTCTTTTAAATTGTACAGAAAGACAGAAGTCCAGACTACTCATTGAAAGTTATAGGAGAGATCATCTTGGAAATTACAACGGAAGAGAAAAATATGTTGTTCAACCGCAGAATGTGAGGTGAGTCACGTACCAAAACAATGTATCGACGAGCACACTACTCACAGTTTGACAGTTGGGTGCGTAGGTTGAATAACCAATCAGACACAATCATTTGTCTGGTTGTGACACTGAGAACGTGGATCTAAGTAAGAATATGTGTGACGTCAGTGGTGGATCCAGGGGGTGGTGTGCGGGGAG